ATTTCAAAAAAAAGTGAAGAGAAAACGAAAATACTAAGTGTTTTGTTAAACAGTTAATTTTATTGAACAAAATAAGCACATTTATAACCTGAATTTGCAGTTTTTTATTTTATTTCAATAAAAAAAAAAATCTTTTAAAAAAATATCCAAAACTGAACTGAATTTTGTACTTATTAAAAATTAGAACCATTTTTTTGTGTTAATTTTAGTAAACAATTTTAAAATAATTGTTTATTACCTATAGTTTTTCTAAAACTGTTTTATTCTGATGGCAAAATTGTGTAAGGAATGTTCGTAAAACTTTCATTTTTGCATCCGTTTCCGAGCATTTGAAATGAATTCCTCTGTATGTCGTCAAAGAGTGGTTCTCACGTGGCCTGATGGGCATCAATTCACCCGTCTGTTATAGATCCACACACATGTGATAATTATAGCACCACAGACTAATATAGTGAGTCTTGCACTGCGTTGGTAGTTCCAAAGCGGTCTTCAAAGCGTAAAAATGTGAAAATTTCAAGTGTTATGTCACCATCATATGATAGCAAAACACAATAATGCGACCTTCCAATAATTTACCTTTAACAGTTTCGTCGACGTCAACATTTTCCTTCCTTATCTAACCGTACACACAACCCAATTAGCGTTCATCCTGGTTTTTGTCAGTAAGTGGCAGCGAATCGTGCGATACGTGCACGAAAATGAAAAAAATTTGCAAGAAAATCACAAATCGAATCAGCGTTCCGAAAAAAGCACCAAGTGATAGAAAATCAGGTTCGTACGACTTGGAAGCGGCCCAGAGAGAATACGACGCCACTAGAACCGTGCCAAGTGCTGTTTACACTAGTGATAGTGATAGTGACAGTGAAAAATTCCAAGACGCGAGTGATAACATGGAACCAGTCACTTACGACGTCCCCAGAATCAGCTTCTCGTTCATAAACGAGCCCAAAACCCCCATAGTGGGGCTCATCAAGTGCGGGAGCGACCCCAACCTCGTCCTCCGGGACAAACCCGACGACGACGACGACGACGGACTTTACAAAATCCCGCGACGATTTTCGCAATCTTTGACCGATTTCAAAGTCGAGGAGTTCCAAGCTTACACTTCCGACCACTCGAGCATCGAACATGTGTCTTGCAGTCAAGTCATCGTGCAAAAACCGGAATTGGACTACTGCAAGGCCCGGAGTAAACTCCCGCTGAAACTCCGGAGACCCACGTTCCTGAAAAAGCCCAGAGCGTGGAACCAAATCCGGACGAAATTCAGCAATATCATGATCGAGCATGCGGCCCAACAGCGTGTGGGGGCCTTCAATGACAAGGAGAAAATCACCCTGGAAGAAGTCTACAAAACGTCCAAAACCAAATGCAAAAACGCGTTTAGGAGCACCACGAGGATTTTCAAGCGGAATCAGGATTCTCTAGATAGTGAAAATTCATTTGTTAAAAATGACGCGTTTTTCGCCAAAGTACCACTCACACCGAATGATATCGAGTACAAGTTTGATTACAATAATGATAAAGTTGGGAAAAATGATGATGAGAAAGGTGATTTTGATTTTTCTTCGATTAAATCGGCCTTCCGGAGAAGCAAATTCGTGGCGGTGGAGGTGAGAACTGGTGTTAATCTAGAATCGTGCAATTCTATTTTTTTTTATTCGATTAAGTGGAGCAGCAGATAATTGGGCTGAAATGTAAGAGGTTAAATAAAAGGTGAGAGGTTGAAGAAAAACATAGGAAACTTCGAATTTTTACTTTTATTGACTTAAATCTAATTGTAGCAAGGTGCTGTTCCAGAAACAATAAACACAACGTGTTTTTCGAAAAAATAAAATAAATAAAACTAAACATTATAGGAGTCATGTGAATGGTAAATGTTCTTGATGCTTTCTCTGTACTGTTTCAAAAGATTAATTATTTAATTAATGAAAATGTTTTGCAGTAAACATTCCTAGAAATCTGCATTATTAAATACAAGACATTAAGTGTAATGAGCAATTGTTTCCAGTAATAGTAAAATTCATTTTTGTTAAATACAGAATGTCCGGAAAGTCGCGCTCCTCCGTGACACTGTATCATCGGGCGATGCCCTAGACAACAAAAAAAAATATTTCAAAAAATATATCTATAAAAATTTCGAAGTTATGAAAGTTTTAATTTCGCACTTTGACTCTATTTATTTCTGTTAAAAAAATAATTTTAAAAGTTTTTTTCTACTCCTAGAAGAGGAAATAAGGAAGCTGTATCCTAAATTGTAACTCTGTTTAGTGTTATTTGCGGTTTTTATTGGCAAAACTTTTGTACCTTTACTAAATAATTATAAAAAAATATATACAAGATCAAAATAAAAATACAAAAAAAATGTCAAAATTTTTTTACAGATAGAATTTTTATTTTGCATGTTCTTGGTATATCTTATCTTACTTGAAATTTTTCTCTGGGGCGCGAGTTCTGACACACGCTGTATATGAGATTTTGTTATTCTTTGTTAAATTTTGAATGGGCCAAATAAGATCCATATGAAAAAATCGATTTTTTTTAAGTTTTGGCTGTGTAAATTGCTTAAAAAAGCTGAAAATGCGACTTTCTAAACATAAAATTACAATGTAATTGGTTAGAATGCTCTACGACGAGTAGTTTTCGAGATATCGAACCTTTTTAACTTATACTATAAAACACGTGTGTTTTGAAAAAATAAAGTATATAAAATCAAAAATTTTACAAGTAATGTTACATGTTTCAAAAGATTAATTATTTAATTAATGAAAATGTTTTGCACTAAACATTCTTAGAAACCTGCATTATTTTAAACACAAGACATTAAGCGTCGTTTAATGAGCAATTGTTTCCGATATTTAAAAAATTCATAAGATTTTGTTGTTTTTTAGTCCACAAAACGTTGGAAGATTTTTTTTTAATTTTTTAATAGTTGCCTAAAAATACTGAAAATATGATTTTCTAGAAGTAAAATTACGACGTGATTGATTAAAATGCTCTAGGACGAGTATAATTTTCGAGGTATCGAGCTATTTTAACTTGTAGTATAAAACCATGAAAAACTACAGCGATTTTGCACGTGCAGTATACAATATTTTATTTTCCTCCAAAACGAAATAAAGTGACACTTTAGTCCCTCAGGAATAAAATAAATGACACACCGAATATTATTACTCTTG